TGAAGAACCATTGATGGAAGGCTTCTGCAGGTTTGGAGGAGCAGTCCGGCTTTCACATGAAGGTTCCGCTTCAATAGCTAGTACAGAGCGTCCAAGTTTAGTCCTGCACATCCTCTGGTACAAGGCGAAGTCTTGAAGAGTCATGGAGTCCCAGTCTATTTCCCCGGAGGGAAGCCTGGGTGGACTGGGAGGAGAAGGTGCAGGAAGGCGGGGCGCCGGATAAAGCCTCGAGAACTCGCCGGGACTCAACCCAGCCATGTCGTTGGACTGGGCTGGGGAGATGGGGAGGTCACTATCTGAAGAAGAAGACGTCCCAGAGAGGGTTAAGTCGATGATGACTTTGCCCTCAGACTTGCTTGCCATGGTGAAGAAGTCAGAAAGTGATGGACGGGCCACTAATTGCCCTTTCCCATTTTATAGTCAGTGGGGAAGAGATAGTTGGGAATTGATGAATGCAATTAAAAGGCGTGAAAGACTGAACGATTGGTGAAAGGAACGGTCGAAGCTTTCCCAAAGTTTGACTAAGAATTTCTCGCCACTAAAGTGCATGGGCTAGTTAATTGGGCCCATTTGCGCTTTGAAAAAGACGTTATCCTGGGAAGGTAAGGAGTTAAATAGACTTAGACTTCTACTCCATGCAGATGACGGCACGTGCAACAAAATAATATTAAAAGACAGGAGATAAAGGCTCTTTCCATTAAATAGCTCAAACAGAAGATTACATTCTTTTGGGTTACAGTGATGGGCCTTATCCCTGATCTAATCATGAAACAAAAAAGAGACAGGAGATAAAGATTTTCATTGAATAACTCAAACAGAAAAATTACATTCTTTTGGGTTACAGTAATGAACTTTGTCCCTGATCTACTTCTATCCTACTGCGGAATAAAAAATTGAAAGCAAGGCGGATCGACACTTCTGGAATCTAAAGGAGTGAATTCGCTGACCCTTGCTTCCCTGCCTGAACCAGAAAGAGAACCTCAAGGCAGGAAGGCATGGAGAGTGTCCGCCGAAGACACTTCATGAAATTCACAAGAACTAGAATGGTACCAACGGGTTGGGACCTAAAGCCATCCCCGTGGATACCATCCGGTCATTCCTGTGAAGGCGCCCACCATTTTCTCTTGATGACATTCAAAAGATACGGAGAGGAACCAACGGGTTGGGATTGAAAGACATTCCCCCCGTTGGCACCTTCTGGTCGCCTCCCTGAAGTCAGATCAGGAGGACGGGTGGGCATGAGGGAAGGATCCAAGGCCTATCTCCATTTTTACGGAAGGAGGGGGTGGGTCCCTGAAGGCCCCATCCTTTTCCCTGCGTATAAAGGGAAGCCTGTTTCCCCCCATGTCATAGTCCCCCCATTCCTCAGGTGGCTGTCCATGCAACTGCTGAGGGGAAGGGGAACTCTGAGAAGAAGGCCTCGCACCGGAGACCAGCCGGGAAGCTCCTGAGTGGGGATTGCGTCTCTTC